GAGAGAGAGAGAGAGTTCTTTGTCCGAAACGCGGACGTTTGGACGGTGACTTGAAAATAGGGTGGGCGAGGATTAAAACTGAGAAATTAACATCGGGAAACTCGACAAACCGGTATAAGCCTGTTTAATTTCGTCGCTTGCACCTCTCGACCTCTTTCGAATAAACATTCCTTGGCAAGGAAGTAAACAAGTTTATCTTGCGAATCGAATATTTATTTAATCGCGCTGGTACGGATTTATAAGAATTTGGTAGGAATCAGAGCCTCGACCGATTTCACCGAAACAACTGTGAACGATCATCAGATTAGCCGCGTTAGAAACCTTCGTGGCGGCCGTCGTCTACGATCTTAATGAGTCTCAGCTTGCTCGAGACCTTGTGGTGGAGAGAGAAAGAGAGAGAGAGAGAGAGAGAGAGAGAGAGAGAGAGAGAGCGCGCGACAATCGAAGACGATGCGAATCGAATGTTGGCGCGTTCGGGCAAAGAAATTCTTCTTCCCTCCCCGTGCCCCTCCTCGGCCGGTGCATTATTAACGACCACGATAAATATGCGCCTTCTTTTTCGCAAGTGCGACGAATCGACGATCGCGTGGACCGAGTCCTGGCGGAGAAAAAAATTCCCTCGAAGGAAGAACCCGTTCCTCCGTCCACGTGTGCCCCTATCGGTTGTCCCATGAAAATCGGTCGTCGGCCCCTCGCTCGAGAAGGCATCGCCATTAACCCGACCAACCAACCAACCACCACCGACGACGGTGCCACCTGCAGCGACGAATCAGCATATTTAGCGTCGAGCCGAATTTAATAGAGGCCATCGGTCGGGGCGTGCATCACGCGGTTGAATTCGCGAGACGCATCAATAATATTCGCAGTGATGCATAGCGTTAAGTATGCTACGGCGAACCTCTCCTTTTTCGAATTCAATTCGCGATATCGGTGTTCGTTTACGCTCGCGAGATACGTTTACGGTTCAAACGCATTTGCATCGTGACGCGCATCGATCGACGCGTGGCCACGCTCGCGTCATTCCCCCCCCCCCTCCCCCGCCCCCCTCCTTTTTTTTGTTTTCTCTTATGCCTCTTACATATTTCGTCATCTCGAAACTCGTATCTCCCGTTCGTACAACGTTGATCGAATTTATGGTAAATATAATGTGTACGTGTAACGCAATAAGATCAAAGAATCCACGAAATTACGTAGAGAATTATTCGAAGCCGTATCGCGCTCGTGATACGCGTTTAATTATTCGTCGCGGCAAGGTGTACGGCAAGGTATTCGGAATATTAAAATCGCGCCAATGCCGCCAATGAGATTTGAGTAATGCAACATTAAACGTTACCTTTATCCGTTCCGTTGCGATCGTTTAAAACGTGCCGTAAATATTGACATTATTTCACCTTCTCGCCGTCGTCGAGGAAGTCGATAAAAATTTTCCTCGTCACAAATGAACGTTTATCGGCCCGTATATCACAACCGGCCGGCCAACACGGGATATTTAACATTCCCGTGTGGAATACCGCGCGGTATAAATTCCGTGGAAGGGTGGCGACGGTTCAACCGTCGTGTGTCGTATTGCGATATATTCCCCGGATGGAGAACGGTTCAAAAGCGAACGAAACCGTCGTCGAACGGTGCCCTATGGACGTGAAAAATGAAAGAACGGTGTGCCACGATTCATCACCCGCGCGTACAGCTCGCAGCCCTCGTGAAAGTGATACATGCTTCTTGTCAAAGACGATACGCCGAGCTCCATTTGTTCCCTGGCTCAAATATACCCGGTAATGCACCCAATTTCCATTCGTCTTCCTATCATTCGATTCCACGATCTTAGGAATCCTCGTCTAAGATTGGGCGGCCCTTTTCGAAACCTATTCTTGTGGAGAATATCCGATGGATATACCTGGAATCTTTCGAGACGTTTAATAGCTCGAATAAACATCGAAAACGCGCTTTTAATGGAGAATTTTAACGGTCCTTTTAGAACGTTTTTTTTCTTCTCATCGTCCGCGTTTATTGTGTATAGATTTCAGATTTTTAGCCGCTCTCTGGATTCTTTATTTTTTTCATCGATATTTTATTA